TCATTTCTCCTTCATCTGAATCTAACCAAGCTTTCTGAATGTCATACTCTATATATAGATTTAACAGACAAAGAGAAAAAATACACCCTTGTCTCCATATTCTGACTCATAGTAACTTCTTGTCTATTTGTACACATCACACATCAGGACAATCAGATATTGTGGCACACCTATTTTTATAGAACCATCTATAGCTTTTGATTCACATAGCCAAAAGCTTTACAGTATTTTAATAAAGCAAACTGTTTTTCTTTTAAAATTTCTTGCATGTGTATTTGCAATATGTCTAATGCTTATGTAAAGCCTTGGATATCATTTTGCTTTCATGGGACAGTAATTTAATGGTCTTAGTTAACGGTTTTGCATCTTATGTCCGTCTAGTCTGTAGGCCATTGTTCTATTTTCCATGTTTGCTGGCATATTTTTTTTCGGATTTGTCTCTGTAGCCTGATTACCTGATTAGTTCTATTGATATGCCATCTATTCCCAGTGATTTATTTCTACCAAGAGCTTTGAGAGTGGTTTCATTTAGCTTTCTAAAAATAGAGGTTCTTTATCATAGGCAGCCTTTTCAAAGATATCTATCATCCTTGCATCATCAGTATCCTTGTCTTTGTTTTATCCTGATCAGTTGATCTTTCAACAGAACCCTTTTATTTTCCTTAAGTCTGTTAAATTGTCCAAAAATGCTATTTCTGTCAATTATCTGTATTTTCAGGAAAGGTGTTTTAATAATAATAAAAGTCTTTTTCTGAGTGCAATAACTGAAGATGAAAAAAAGTAGTCTTCATGGCTACCTCTGAAAATATAAGGACAATAGCCTTTGAACCACCAGAATCTTTTCCTCCACACCCTACCTGTGCTGCCATTCTTGGGTACCAGCACTATACATAAGTGGCTTCCCCTCCCAAGATCAACATGAGCCTGCATTATATGGTTTCCCTAAGTATTATGTCGAACTATACAAACTTGAATCTTACCGCTCATGAAGAGGAACTACCATAGACATTAAGCACTATTCACAGTGATTTTGTGAAAAGGCACTTGATTCTAAAGCCATGGTCTGCATGATTGAAACCTCATGGTTGCATATTGCATTATGGATAAAAATCTCCTGCTGATTCTACTCACTACATTTTCCAATATTTTTTTTCTGTTCAATATACTGGGCGTGACACAGTCCACCAAACAATAACTAGCATATTTCTAGTATAATCATTTTCTGCATGTAAACTTAAGTTTTTTTAAAAATTTTGCAAAAATGCTAATCTTGAAAGTGCTATATATATAATTAATGAGTAGCAGTTGCTACCAAGACTTACGCAATTTCCCCTATGCAACTATAAATTAGGATTGTGGCCATTAATGCTGCTCTGGTTTCACCTAGTGTGGCAGGATACAATGAGTGGGGATGCTGTCATCCATATAAAAGAATATATCGATTTTTCTAATAGGCTTGAACAAAATATTAATGATCCAGGGCCAATTACTACAATGTTTAATTAGCTGTTCCTACCTACCATAAATCTAAATAATTAAACCCACACATAATTTGAAATAATCATAAAATATTTAGGTTTATAAGCCAAGAATATAAATATTCTCTATTAAAATATACGTCTTTCCAGATACACATATTTAGCTGAATTAACATCTTCAATCTTAGGTTAAGAATGAATGGGTAACTTTGACAGTAACTTGTATATTTATTCGAAGTATCCCTCCTGTATTTTCAGCAAATTACTTTAAATATCTGTGAGGCCGTGCCGATACATACAGACCTCTGATATACTTTGCTTACAACTTGGTGCCATACTGCCCAAAGTTGCTTGGCTGCCAGATGGTGCGAGGTATAAATCTAATAAATAAAAGAAATACGTTCATTTCAACAGAAGTAATTTTATTAGTGCAGCATCAACTAAATATGATCATAAGCTTTGTCTGAGCACTTTCTGATGAGTCTGCAAGTGTAGTAAATTCATTGAACCCAAGTTACAGACATTTTCCTAGCAGTATTGATGATCTGCTATGCTACCTTTAATCTAAGGTTCATACACCTAGGATACTCTTGGCAACCATGTAAAGTTTGTTGTTTCATGGGTGAAACGTGATTTCATGTTTTATCTCCACTATTTCTACCTCCAAAAGGAGGGTCTGGGGTTTATCTGATAGCAACTTCATTCTTAAGCTGTGAGTGAAGAAAGACAGAAATCATATCAATTTGAATAAGCCTCAGGTTTACCCAGAAAATAGTTACAAATCTTGCTCTCTTTTTTTGTCTTTCCAGTGTTCAGCACTCCGTTAGCGAGAGCCATTGGTTTTATCCAACCTAAAGAAAAGTAATGCAGTTGTTCCCAGTTTTCAGTATACTTTATTTAATATACATGCTGACAATGAGTTCATTTGTGGCTCTTATCCTTAACAGTAGTCAATTCTTAAAACTAGCAGGCTATAACAGTTGATAGCTTTGCACTCAGGAAGATCTCTGCTGCTGCTGGGTGGGGACACTTGGGGAGGGTGGAGGGTTATGGAATTTTCCCACAAACCAGCATCCTTTTAGCCCTCCATCTGTTCAGGTGAACTTCTGAATAGCATTCCAGTAGGTCCACTAAAGACAGGAGGGCCTGGCGTGCTCTGGTCCATGGGGTCACGAAGAGTCAGACACGACTAAACAACAGGTCCACTAAAGAGAGCTAAATTGATAAGATGTTTCAAATGTGTCACCCATATGTGGAAACTTCTGCATGATCAGATCTACACATCCCTTTTAATCTTTCCTGAATCTGCAGATACTCCAGTTCTGGCCAAATCTACACAACAGACAGCAGAAATGACTATGGATTCAGGAAGAAGTTAAAGGAACATTAGATCTAACCTATTTAGCTCCTGAACTGACACCATTTTGTGCCCCAAGGCTGAAATCTCATTTCTCCCCTAACCTGGGAGTCGTGTTAAAATCAATAACAGTCTGAGTAGACACACAGATCTACCAGCCAACAAAAATGACTTTTCTGTTACCCGAACGAACAGCCCTCATTTCCTAAAATATACTGTATATCTGAAAAGAAAATCAGTGGGATCATCACTGGAAAGTAAGAAACTTAAAGAAATTTCTTAAGGTGATAACCAACATAAACAATTTCTTTATCTAGTTTGAAGCTCTTATTAGTGCACAGAACTCATTGAAGTGTAAGGAAACTTCTGCATTTTGAATGCATTATCTTAAATATAAATGTTAGACCACCATTGTCCAAGTGTAATGCAAAATATTTCTGTTCAGTCTATTATAGCACAATGTTATGTGCATATGGAAATTTGCAAGACATCCTTGAGATACTGTCTTTGTCCAACTTGAGTGGAGCAGTTAAATTTAATTCCAGTCACTGGGACATACTCACAAATTTGCATAGAATTTCATCTTCATAAGAGATCTGTCAAATATATCAAACCCATGATATACCTTTGATGTGTGATATCCATGCCATCGTTGATAGTTTGCACCATATGGTTGCCTTATCCATTCCTTTCACTATTTAACAAGAACATGTCGGCCAATCTTAGCTACACTAAGCCCTAAGGTATGAAACTGTTCTTGTTTATAGGTTCATCAATAGTAATACAGTGGTGCCTCGCTTAACGATGTTAATTGGTTCCCAAAAAACCATCGCTATGGGAAAACATCGCTAAGCAAAACACCATTTCCCATAGGAATGCATTGAAAACCGGTTAATCCATTCCAATGGGAACGGATTATCGTCCTTAAGCGAAAATCGGCATAGGAAACATCGCTAAGCGATACAATGTTTCCCCCATTGGAATGCATTGAAGCCTATTCAATGCATTTCAATGGTTTTGCGATGTCCGTTTTCGCTATTTTTAAAGTGTCTTACAATGTTCAAAAACGGTTTTAAATGCTTGGGATTATTAGTGCACCTTGCAAAACCTGTGCAAACTTAATTTGGCTTTGTTCTGAGTCTTTGTTAAATTTTGGTGAATTTTTTTCTCCCCCATTGGAATGCATTGAACTGTAGGAAACAATCAACATGTTTTGCAGTGTTTAATAAATTGAAAAGGTTAATAATCTGAAAAGAAAAACTTTATAAGATAATGAACTCACATATAAAACAATGAACTGACCAAGAATTACAAAATACAGTTGCCTTCATATTTTGGTTTTACCTGTTTGAAGTATCAGTTGTGTCCTTGCAAGCCAGTTTTCAGTATGCTGGTTTCTGATATGCCCAATATGTTACAATGAGCCATCAAATCACTAACAGACTTCTTGTGAGATGTTGAAGGAGTGGTATACCGTTATCTCTGCCCTGTGACTTTCCATGGGTAAATGTAGTTTTGAATCCAGGTGTCCTAGTTTCACTATGCACTATACTACTCAGGCTCTTTATCCCACATGAGCTAACACATTTCAAAACTTGTTTTTAAGCTATCAAAATTTATTCATAAAATTGTTCAAATGGTGGAAGCTGGAGACATTGACAACTGAATCTGTGCAAAAAGACAAATTCTCATACCAGTATTAGAATCCTTGCGAAGACAAAGTTAGCCAAGGCATCTGGGTTTACATTTTGGAAGCTATGTCCATAATGTGATACACATTAGATGATGCTACCTACCAGTGAAGGTACTTCAGAAAGATGCATTCTGAAATCTTATGGTTCATTTGCCATAAGAAGTGCAATCCTATGAATATTTACTTTCAAGGGGGTCCATTGATCTCAGCTGGATATGCTTACTTCTACCTGGTTTAGATGAAAATACCTACAAAATTATTTGCAAAATTCCAAATTCAAAGAATTTCAGCATCCAATATACAGCAAGGTCCTCAAAGCAAAGCAATTTGACTCTACATGGACTAAACTGAATTTCTGTTGTTTTTTTATAAATATAAATCTAATGTTTTTAATTTTTTAAATTAAACTTATATACCGCCCATCTAGAACATGTCTACTCTGGGCAATTTACACAAAATATAAAAAATAAAACTATGAAAATATATATGTAATAAGAATAAGATGCAAATTAACAGTAGAATCCAAGATGGAAAAAAGATAGGCTAGGTGATGGCTGTAGGGAAGGCCTGCCGGTATAGCCATGTCTTCAGATTTTTTGCATGTAGGTTCAAATCCACATTCAGCCATGGAAGCTCACAAGGAGGTGGCAATGGTAAAGCATTCTTTGAGGACATCCTACACATTTCAAACCCTAGTATGGTCACCATAAGCTGGAAGCAACTTAATGGCACATAATGTAACTCGCGTTCTAACTTCTCTAACCTCTAATTCAGTGCTGATCAAAATATAGAGGAGTTCACAACCTTTTTTGAGAAAGGAAACAGAGGAACTACAGTCACTGTGATTTTCCAATAGCTGTAGTTTCTCTGATGTCCACTTTCCCAAAATTTGAAAACACATATATCCTTAATGTATTCCTCCACGTCTGGATTTCCCTCATAAGAATTTTGATAATTCCCAATCAATTTTATTGGGGGAAAAAAACTAAAAAAATCTTGAAAAGAAATTTCAGATAAACACTGTCAGGTGATATTCCTTATTCCTGTTCTTGCTTTACTTATGAGGTGTCTGAGGAATTTGTTTGGAATGTTTTTATTTCACTGAACATTCCCATCCACCGTTTTCCCACAATTCAGTTAAAAGCTGAGGGGAAGACATGTTAAGGTATCTCTTCCAAAGGGCTTTTTTGCTTCAGGAAATGTTGGCACAAGGGAAGCTGCAGAGCAGCAATAATAAACTGTGTACTAGGAACATAAACACAGCACGGGTATTATAAGTATCTGCAGCAAAGACAAGGTGTATCTACATTGACCCTCATTTGGAAGATCTGAGGAATACACTAAAGAAATAATAAATGCTGAGGCGAAATTTCCAAGACATTTCCTGAATTTTTTTTCCTGAAAACTGCCATTTCTGATTCCCCTACAAATAAAAGGCCACTTTGTAAAATTATTTCCAAAAAGCTTTCCTGTTATTTTTGTCCCAGCCTCCCACCCACACCCATTCCTATTGTGCTACTACATGGAAGATACTGTGTAGGTAGCAAAATGGTGGCCAGGCTGCCAGCACAGCCTGGTATGGCATGGCTACCTGCAGTAAAAAAAAAAAAAAAACCAACTCCTTGGGGGTAAAGAACAAAGCTGCACTACAATCACTGCTGTCACCTTTGAGACACTGTTGGACAATTTTTCCTTTCACTGAAGAAACTGTCTCCCCAGATTTTTGTATATAGCAGAGAATTTGAAAAGTCAGTTTGTGCAGTTATCGTTTGAGGCTTCAGGCCCATTATTTATTCCACATAACTGAAGAAAATACCATTTTCATAGAAGTTAGCCTTTTGATGCAGAGAGAAGCCCCCTCCATTACACAGCCAAAATGATCCCCCAGCTGTGGAAAAAAAAGGCCACATTACTGACTCCAGACATAAGGGTTTATAATTCAAAGCCTCTGAACAATAGTGCCCAGTTGATTTGATAAGTTTTCAACAGTTTCCTATAAATCTGTTCAGCAAAGAAGTGACCAAAACCAGTTTCTTTTCAGCATTACTCATTTATGTTTTGTTCTCTGTGCCAAGGCCTGCAGGTTGGCAGGGCCACCCCAAACTGTTCCAAAAATTTCCTTTTCTGTCCTCAAGGCAGCTTCTAAGTGGAGCTCTCTTCCTCCTGAAACAACCCTTTTGATGGCCTGAATGACTTCCACTGGGCCGTTGGTGTAGTGCTTGAGCCAGGTGCATGTTTCTTCTAGAGAGTGAGCTTCACTGGATGAGGGCAGCACAGCCTCTATCAAGCCCATGTGGAGGGCGCTCTCTGGATCGATTCTGGTGGCACCACTCAGCAGCTTGAGGGTTGGGCTGCTGCCAAGGATTTGTACAAGCCGGGCAGCTCCTCCCCATCCTGGCACTAAGCCCATCTGCTTGTGGACAAATCTTATTTCACTCTCCGGGGTCATTAACCTGTCAGTGAGAAATAAGTATTCTGTCATTAATTTATAGTGAAGCTCAGCAGCCATGCCTTCTTGATCTTCATTGCTTCATTTCTATGCAAAGCACAGAAATCACCTTAGATTTTATTCAGATGTACCGCCTTCCCTCCACACTAATGTTTGTGGTTGCAAACACATAAAAATATAGTAGTTGCAGCGAACACATACAACCTTATGTGCATGGGGCTAGAGTCAGATTAAGTGATTAAACCGTCTAAGGGTGCAACTACACAGTGAGAAATGTGAATGCATTCACATTCAAAATTGTTGTGAAGTCACACAGGAATTGAGGTCTGTTTGATTTAGATGGCTACACAAGGAGACAGGAAAAAAGCCTTGTCTGCTGCTTGTTTGCAGCTTTATTGAAGCCCGTAGGAGGCAAGGTTAAAAGGAACTTGCTGCTTGTTTGCAGCTTTATTGAAGCCTGTAGGAGGCAAGGTTAAAAGGAACTGCCTTAACAAGCAACAACAAGGGTTTCCTCCTCTGGTTAACTCATCATATTAGCTTTTTTCTTTTTAAAATAAAACTTGTTGATGGAGAGAAGCTCCATTCTTACGTTTTTTAAAAAATTAAGAGTTTTGCTCATGAAGAGAAGAGAAACTAAAGAAAAAGAAGAGGCTTGCCCATGGAGAGAGGCTTTGCCAGAGAGTGCATTTGCTGACATGACAGGGTTTTTTTTTGCCCCCACCCCACAGGTCTGCAGCTCATCCTCCCCTATTCTTATTTATCTTTTAAAAACATAAAACAATCATACAAACAAAAACATCTAATAACACATCACAGTAAGAACAACAACAATAAAAAACCGCTACACAGATCACGTTTTCCCTCCACCCACTCGAACCATTTGGAGATATAGCCATTTTTTCTCCCTCTATGGAACCCCATTCCCATCGAAAACAGCACTGACTCTTGCAAAGGTACATATCCCTTCTTCTTTATAAATACAAAATCAATAAATTCTCCCCAAACTCTGTAAAAATTATTCTTGCTTAGCAACCTATTCTTTACCCCTTTTATTTTAATATTACATGCTAACTTATTATTAATAGCTATATTAATAGCTTCCCCCCCATGAGGCAAGAGGCAAAGGGGATAGTGCTTGAAGCAGCAAAGCAGAGCTTTGTGTGTGAGTGTGTGAGCATCTTATCCTCCCCTTTATCAATTCAAGTGATCATACCTCTGAATGGATGCAAATGGATAATTTTTTTAAAAGTAGAAGCCCCAGCAGCAGAGGGGGGGAAACTACAGATTGGAGGGGGGAACTCTAAGTTTATTTTCATTTCATTTTGTATGATGTGGTCAATGAAAAAAAATGCAAATCAGTCTCTCCCACTGTATTTCCTGGAGGTTTCATCAATGTGGTCACCTCCTTACGCATGTCTCCATCAAGTGGGAGTAATTTAAGCTGGAGACAAGGAGAGGGACGTGCATAGTTCTATGGCTTATGCACTGAGCAAATGTTTTGGCTGGTCTTGATAGGTTGTGGTCATTGGCACTCTGCTCCATCAGAGCAATTTTATCCAAGTTCTCTTCAGATGTGAATCCCACTGAGTTAAATGCAGCTTCCTTATATGGGGTTTACCTGATGTGCACCACAGTATAGCCTTAATCCTTGGCTTACACTTTAGCTCTGTGAGGCCAGAGACAAGCCTTCCTCTTGCTCCATGCTTTAAAGTCTGGTAAAGAAGCGTGCTGGACCATAAAGAAGACTGACCACCGAAGAATTGATGCTTTTGAATTGTGGTGCTGAAGGAGACTCTTGAGACTGCAAAGAGAACAAACCTATCCAATTTGAAGGAAATCAACCCTGAGTGCTCACTGGAAGGACAGATCTTAAAGCTTAGGCTCCAATACTTTGGCCATCTCATGAGAAGAGAAGACTCCCTGGAAAAGACCCTGATGTTGGGAAAGTGTGAAGGCAAGAGGAGAAGCGGACGACACAGGACGAGATGGTTGGACAGTGTCATCGAAGCTACGAACATGAGTTTGACCAAACTACGGGAGGCAGTGGAAGACAGGAGTGCCTGACATGCTCTTGTCCATGAGGTCACGAAGAGTCGGACACGACTTAACGACTAAACAACAACAACAAAGAAGCGGGCAAGGGCTTTTTTGGGGGGACGGGGCAAGTACCCAAGATGTTCCAAGTACCATGTATGTCCATCACTGAAATGGTCAAAACCCACCTTCCCTTCTAGAACCAGAAGAATACCTTGGGGCTGGATATAGCAGTGAAACTGTTAACATATATCATGCATTTGTGTGATGATATACAAGTTATTGTTCCTAATACCAAATCTATTGTGGTGTAGCAATCTTATGTGTACAGTGGACCCTCGACTTACAGACGGCTCGACTTACAGACTTTTCGAGTTACAGACTTCTCTGGTCGCAAAATTTAGGTTCGACTTGCAGCCAGAGAATCGACCTACAGACCAGAAAAAAACCCAAAATGAGACAAAAATGGAACAAAAACGGCCGGTTATGGGTTTAATAGGTTTTCAATGGATTGTAGGTCAACGGAGACTCGACCTACGGACTTTTCAACCTGCAGCCACCGTTCCAATACGGATTAATTCTGTAAGTAGAGGGTCCACTGTATATGATTCACTGTTAACTTACATATCGGGAGTATCTTAATGGGGACTAGTAACTACTTAAATGAAGGCTTGCGTCTCCTTCTGATTCTTGTTTCTTCCTGTTCCACTGTCACCATAAATTACATGTTCTGTTTCCCTGAATGCCTCTTATCTGGCATAAGATATCAACTTCAATGTGTCTGTTCTAAATATGACTCCACCTGGACCCAATCCAATAAAAGAAAAACTAAATTTAAAGGCTTTCAAGTACAGTGATGCCTCACAAGATGAAAATAATTTGTTCCGTGACTCATTTCGTATTGCGAAAATTTCGTCTTGCGAAGTGCGGTTTTCCGTAGGAATGCACTGAAATTTAATCTTGCGAGGCACGGCCATAGAAAAATGTCTTGTGAGTCACCAAAAAAATTACAAAGCGTTTTCGTCTTGTGAGTTTTTCGTTGCATGAAGCATTCGTCTTGCGAGGCATCACTGTACCAAATAAGGACTACATAGTTTCACAGTTTCAGTATATGGAAAGGCAATAAAAATGGAGGTAGAGGGGTTCTAGAGAGACTGTGCTGCATATAATGGAGGATAACTATTTTAAGCATTCAGAAAATCCAGAACAGCACAGCCTACAAAACAAAAGCATAGGTGCAGTAAAACTAGTGCTGTAGTAAAATGCTTGGTCCGACACAATCATCACCATTAAAAGAGCAGAGAGATCCTGAGTCTTGAGCCCAAATCTGCTTGAAACTGATCCACATAGTGAGTAAGGAACTGAAAAGACAGCTAATTTTTCGTATGCTTTGTAAGAAAAAAGGTCAAAGGCAGTCTTGTAATTTAATTTAGACAAGATCCAGAGAACTGTGTTTGGGAAAAGAAACTAGACAGTTTATAGTACTTGGAAATGGGGCAGGGCAAAGAAAAGAAACATTTGGCCAGTAAAAATAATTTAAAAAGCATAGACACTTTGTCCGGTTCTCCTGACAAGTAGTAAGGAATAGTTAATTGCTACTGTGGTCAGGACTTTGCCTTTGGTTGCCACCCACAGGAACATTCTCTTGTTTTTTTACTATGCATAAGAAAGAAGGGGGAGCATAGTATACCACACACATCTGAAATCCCCATATTTTCTCAGGAGGCAATGGCATCTCCGTTGTTGCAAAAAGGCAAAGGACATTAACATCTTTTGCAACATCTCAGAATTTTCTGTTTTATTTTCTGTTGCTGCATGTGGTGGCAAAGGGAGTAGAGAAAACTATAAGCGTTATGAAAAAAATACGATACACAGATGAAGTGAAAGGAGAAAAGTGGCAAGCTGGAGTCCAAAACATCAATGAGAAGAGGGGACAGTGGTTATTAAGGAGGAAGAAAGAATGGGATGAGGCTGGAATCCACCAGGAAAGAGAAACAACAAGGAGATAAGATATGCTGCCAAGGTTAGATGATGTTTGGGCAGGAGGAATGTCATGTATGTTGGTCCTGCTGAGTCCCACCCTATTCTTTCTTGAGCCTTGCTGCACACCTGTTGCTTGTTTACTGGCCACACAAGACAGAACTCAAGGTGACAAAAATAAAATGTAAAAGAGTAAATGACACCCCCTACAAAATATTGTCAGTAAGCACCAGGGGGGACAAATAAGAACAAATTGTAGGCAGAGAATGTGCTCAGCTACTAATGCACAGAGGAACTCTTTGGGTAAAGACTTGCTTACCTTTTAAAACCCTTCCATGATGGGTTTGACTGGCCTCAGCAGGGAGTGTGTTCTACAGCTGCCACTGAAAAAGTTCTATTCTGTCATACACTTGTTGGCTTAGCAGGCAGAGCGTCTGAAGTCTATCACTTAGACACTGAAATGTGTCTTGAATGAGTGGATGGGCAGAGAAAAAGAAATAATCTATGACATACAACCCACCCTCCATTTTCTCCCACTATAGCCACAGAGAAAAAAATGCCAATACAGAATATTATGCACACTACAGAACCCATCCAGACATTTAGACCTCAGTGATGAAGCTGCATTTTAAGACAGATTGCAGAATAACATACTGTGGATATTCTTGGTTGGGCACTGAAAAGATACAATAAACTGAACTTGTGTGTTCAGAACTCTTCATCAGACAAAGATAGTAAAAAATATGAGGTATTTATTTTGTTGTGGAAAGGAGTGAAGTTATCAATTCACAGATTCACTCCTCTCCACAATAAAATATATAAAGTAAAAAAAATTAAATGCCCAGGTTAAAATTTTAAATGCTCCCTTCACTCCATAGATTGCTGATTGCCTTCGGACAAGGCCACAGAACTCTATTTCATATGCCTGTGTGGAACTTGAATACATTTGTTACCAGATATACAACCCTCAATCACTGCATTGACAGATAA